ATTATTTCACTACCCTAAGAAAAGTTGCATCTTTTCCAAAAAGGGAATTATGTATCACCCTCCTCTTCTTCCTAGCTGGCCTCCAAGAGCCCCTTTAATGGTCGTCCCAGTCAAACATTGGATTTAAGCAAAAAGAATCGGTGTTCCTTTAACTGTCAGCATCCCTAGCCCACCAAAAACTGAGAGCACCACGTGTCCAGAAATCTGAGCAGTTCTGAGTTCATTAATTTTCTATGCCATCAGAATGTATTCATGATATCTGGGTAACGGGTGTCGTGGCTCATACCTAACCCATACACTTTGCGGTTATAGGAGGAGGTCAAATTTGGAGTCAGAAAACCTGGATTCTGGAGAGGTAGCCTCATACCAGCTGATCTTAATCCAATGGTCTGTTTATCCATAAAAAGTAAGAGAATATCCACCCCATGAGATTATTAATACTAATATTATGCACACTTACTTAGAACTTAGCAAGTACTAGATCCCATGCTGGGTACTTTGAATAATCTCATTTAGTTAATTATGCAACATGACATATTAAAGTGCTACACACATTAATAAAAATAATAATTATTATTACTACATCATTCAAAAAGGATTCTAATTCACAAATCTGTTGGGAACTTCTTAATTTTGAGCTCAAACTCTGGCAAACTGGTGAAAGGAGTTGTTTTTTTAATTTGTGACTTATCCCACAAAGTTATCTGGGCTTAGAAAAACTACAGTATCATAGTATTGGCAGGTATCCAGACCAAAAAGTCAATCTTCTATGCTTTCATTAAACCCAAATACGTTCTTATAAATCTTGCCCCCCCCCGAAAAAAAACAGGGTTATCATTTGTCATCAGCTCTTCTCACTGTCACAGTGGGAAATATTTGAAGACTATTACTTTATATCTAAGAACTTAAAATTTTCTTCATGACAAACAGGTGTAAACTCAGCAATCTTCTTTCTCTGAAGTTAAAGAAATTACACAAGACAAACATCTAGATACCATAACAAACTGAAAAGTTCTTAAAAGCTTAAGAATAAATTTTCTTCATGATCCACAGGTATAAAACCAGCAATATTCTTTCCCTAATAGTTAAGAAATCAAAACAAAAAAATGAAGAAATTCAACAAGGCAACTCTGAGCTAGCACGTAATAAACCTGAGTAATACATTCCCACGGCCTGAAACTTTTTAGTCTCCCTTTATGTCCCAATGAAGACCACTCCACAGCTCTTTCCGGACAGTGGGACAAATTCATTGAGCCATGACACCTAAGAGAAAGCACCTTCCACAGAAATACCAGGTGCTAGATGTCATGTCAGGGTTAGGCTGCAAAAAAGGCAGAAAAAGTTCATTTGGATGCTTTTCAACTAGATGCTGTCTTCATTAAAATTTCACTGCCTGAGCCAACAGAATCAGTACTCTGTGGGGCAGGTAGGCAGGAAAAGAAATCAGGTTAGGGTGGGCATTTCACAATGTCACCTCATTATTTTTTTGCAGAAAAACATAATATTAATACCTAGAAGTCTGGGCGGAGAAAGTTCGAGAACAACAATGTGCAGCCTGAGCTCAGTAATGCCTGCGACCCTGGACAAGCTATTTGACTCTATCTTCTCATCTTTAAAACCTTATAGCTATGATATGAAGACAAGATAAAATACCATATTTAAAGCTCCTACTAACATGTCTGGTATATGGTAAGCATTCAATGAAATCTTGTTCCCACCAACCCCAACGGAGGAGACAAGGAGAAGCTTTCAGGAATAACTGGAATTCACAAATAGTCTTATAAAATTGTAGGAAAGATTTCTATAGGTAAAATGAAAGGATGGGGCATCTGAGCCAGAAGGTCAACAATGAAGGCAAAACCCAGGGCTTGGTTTTATGAAGAGCTGCAGGCCTGCCTACCTGGAAGATTTGACTGGAATGTAAGAGCTGGAATAGGAAGTCGGTGGGGTGGGGCCGTTTGGGGAAGGGTCCTGAATGCCAAGCTAAGGAATCTAGAATTTATACAGTAGGCACAAGCAACAGTTTCTGAGTAGAAGAGTAGCAGGAGTATTTTCCTATAAGGAGTTAGCTAGCTGATGTGAAACCGGAGAAAAAGTATTATGAACCTCTCTGTTACCTCAAACACATTTTTCTAAACATGTGAGATTGAGTTTTGTCATATTTCAGTATTCCTCTCTTATTTAAAAAAGAAAAACAAAACAACTAATTCAACTTGATCAGATACATGAACAGACTCTGAGGAAAGTGGTAGCTTAATTTTGCAGGTGAAAAATTTGCAAGCGAGAGAGCACGCATTGGGTGTGTCTGTTAGGTGTGTGCTGGGTGTTGGTGGTTAACGTCTGAAGCCATCAGAGGCTGAAGGTCCTGCCTCTTGTCTTATACCAGGAGCATTACTGTGATAGATATCACTCTGCATCGCAGTCCTTTAAGTCAATGAGGTTTTGGTTTTAACCATATTTATTCACTTACCTACAAATCTCTCGAAACTACTTTATCTAAGTAGACCAGACTCATTTTAACATCCTACTTCCCTTAGCTGGAACATCACATCTCATCCCATGGTCCCTCCCCAAATTTTTAGGATCCAGTGTGAAAATATTTGAAACCAGCAAAAATGCAGAAATACCTCATGAGATCACAGCACTCTGAGACTCTTAGGCATAGATGCTAAATTAATAAATTCATATAAAAGGCATTAAAAAAAACCTATACAGATTCAGAGGTGCAGCTTGTCAATATTGGGTTATAAGTGCTAGGAAGAATTATACCCAGAAAACTGAAAAAAGCAGCTTTGTAGGCATGTACAAAACTAAATAAGCAGATAGAATTTATGTTATCAAAGATGTGATGATTGAAAGAATTACAAATAAAAACAAAACACCAAATTGGGGGTGGGGGGATGGGGAAAAGTTTTATCAAAAATTCTCCTAAAGTTGCTTAAAATGCAATCAGTTACATTTGTTACTAAGGACTGTGCCAAATGTTTGTAATTCTTCTGGGATCCACCAGACTTGAGAGTTAATTCACCCTTTCTCAGTTCCTCAACATGGGTGGTTTTCTGTTACAGAAATACCAACACTAAACTTGTGCAACTCCTAAACCACAATACTCAGAAATAAGAAAGTTATCTAGAACTAAATTACCGGACAAAGGTCATTGGAAAAAAAAAAGCCACCACACAAAATGTGAAGCCCACCTCTTTTGAAGGGATTTCTTTGAGACACATGAGGAAAACTATTAGGCGCATGTGATTATTTCTTTTTTTTTTAATTTAAATTTTACTCTGTCCAGAGAGGACAGTTTAAGACATTTCCTGTGTGTAAACTCCACCCTTCTCAGTGAGCAGTTTTACAACCATCCTCAAACCTTTCAGAATAACAGTCTTTTGTTATGGGTGGGCCTATGGATACACTCCTCCCCACACCTTGTATTTCTTGGTTTTGCATTCCTTCTGAGACTAGAGGAGTAGGCTGACTGGACATCAGTGATAGGTTTTCTGATGGAGGATCCCCCAAGGGTGCTTTCTCCTTGGTGTGTGACACAATGAAGCGGGGAGCCTGGGTCATTTGAAGAAGAGGTGCATTCTGAATTCTCAGAATCTGAAACTGTGGGGCTCCTAACATAGACCCAGAAGATAATAGAAACACACCTCCCACTTCTCTATCACTTGCGAATACCCCCAACAGCCTTGGTCCCCTCAAGTTTTCCAAAAAAGCAAATTCCACCTTGGAAGAGCTCAAGAGGAATGAACCAAAGACACAGAACCATTCCCTGGAGGGAACGGAGATTCCTCTTAGCTAACTGCCCCAGGAATGCAGCACAGCCTAGCAAATGTTTAAAATCACGTCCTGTCCTGCCTCTTGTTTTCCAGAAAAGTGTCATTACTGTCAACTATTTCACAAGACAAATAAACTTATGAATGAAATACATCCTCCCCCCTTTCCCAATGAAAACATTCTAGGACTGAGCTGCTTGCTTCCTTCCTTCCTCCTCCTCCTCACAGGAACCACATTTGGGGCACTGAGAAGAGTTAAAATAAGAAACATACACAGTCTGCAAAGGCTATTCCACAGCACTAGAGCCATTCCCGGCCTACTACTGATTCCAGGGGCTTCCAAACGGAAGCAGTTCTGTTTTCAGTTATGAATCCTTTTTCATGTATAAGCTCTGAGACACTGCTGGCCAGGCCCACTGGCTGGGCAGGATACAGGGGCCACCCCGGCCGCAGGCTGCGGGCCCGTCATCCCACACACTGCTGCACACAGGACCCTGCTCTCCATAAAAATATGTGTGGTAAAATATCGGAGTCCTTCAATTATTTCAGACTAATATAGTCTCCAAGAAACCTGTAATTGATCCAACTAATCCAACCCATAACACTGGAATGACAATAACTGGTTTTCATTATAAATTACATAGCCCACTAAATTGATGGGAAGGCTCTCCCCCCAACACAATACATCAAAAGAGTTAAAATTAAGCTTCGGAATCAAAACTGTAATTTACCCAAGACTTAGGAACAAAAAGACCACTCCCTCCTCCCTTTTGCTATTGTTCTACAGGACTGGGTGTCGAGCAGTGCACTTTACACCTTTAGGCTTCCCAGAGGTAAGAGGCTGGGGGCTGGGAGACAGAGGCGACCCGGAATCAAATACTTGCATACCAATAGGTCTACTGGCACTGATCTACTGCGATACACAGATAGCTAAAAGGGCAAAAAATGTGTATGCAGTGGGCAGCGGACACCTGACAACCAAGAGAGCCAAAAGGACACTGGAGAGGGGGGGGGGGCTCCAAATGGTGGCGTTTCTGGAGTAGGGAGTAAGAAACCGGCTCCTTTAAGCAGCGAATGGGGTGCTCGCAGCCAACCAGAGGCTTTGGGGCCGGGCCATGCAGCCGCCCGTCTTCATTAGGGTCACGTACCATATGGCACAAATAAAGCCTCAGAACCCCCGGAGGCACGGCCCCAGGCAGGCCCGGCCTTTGGGAGGCGGCTTACCTTGTAGCTGCTTGAATCTCCCCTCAAGCTGGTTGTAGTTGTAAGGCACCTGCCCCGTGTAAGACGGCGACAGCGGCGCGGATATGCTAGACGTCCTCTGCAATTCCATTATGCCCGGCGTAACGCCCTGGCGGGCTGCACGGTGGAAATCCCGCTCCGGCCCCCTCCAACCCCCATCCAACACACAGCAGCTTCCGCACGGCTTGGCTCCCGGCCCCTGCAAAAAGGGCTGGACCTTAAGGAAGCCCCATTCCAGTCTGAAAGTCCAGCAGGGTGATCTGATAGGGAGTTGGCTGCAGAAGAGTCCACCTCAGCCCGGCCAGGAGTTACCACACACGCATCTAATTCCTGGTCGCCTTCTTTCCTTTTGCGGCCCTTGGCTAGAAGCTTGACATAAATTACCAAGGAGGAGCGGGAGGACGGAGAGAGGGAGGCGCAAGTCCGACTTAGAAATTTTTTAAAATATGGCCAGTCCTAAGCATGCCCCAGTCGCCGAGCCCCGGAGCTGGCGGGAGCAGCGCGCACACCTCCTCCGGGCGGCCGTCGGTTTGTAATTTAATCAGGAGCCACTCGCGCTGCGCGGTGCGCTGGGCGGTGATGTCACCTGATTAGCATAACAGCATTGTAGAGGAAACGCAGGCTGTACCACGAGGAGGGGCGCGGGGGAGGCCGCCGGCCCCCACCCACCGGCCGCCCGCACGGCCCGCGGCGCCCTCGCTGTCCGGAGCCACCGACCCCTGGGCCGGGCCCAGGACGCGCCCGCCGCGGTGGTGCCTTCCCAAACAAAGCTGCTGGAATTACAATCTTTTGTTGAGAGCCTCACGTAACGGAAAAGTCTCCAATTACTATCACACGAAACGGAGGCGGCCGGGAGGGCAGGGAGCCCCGCAGGTCCCCGGCCTCGGTGGCTCACCCACCGTTCAGCGTCGGCGGAGATAATACGGCCACGAGGGCCGCGCACCTGGGCGCGCGGGCGTCCCCAATGCGCGGGCGCCAACCACACGGCGGCCGCCGGCCCGTGTAAAAGTAAAACAAAGTCACACTGGGCGCTGTGCGGGGCCACAGTGCCGGGAGGCCTGCGTGAGGGCTCACGATAGAATCTTAACAGACTTCTGCTGCCATCATGGGATGTTAAGCTGGAGGTTTTCTGGGATAACACTGGCCCTATAATAGTAATTCCATGCAAGGAAGACTCATGGGAGCACCGACTTGCAAAGCATTGTGGGAGAAAGGTACACAGATAAACACCTTAAGGATCCCGAACCTGGAGGAGTTTCTGAGCCGATCTGGAGATAAGAGAACAAATATTACCCTCAAATCTCCCATCCAAGTACTAACCAGGCCCGACCCTGCTTACCTTCCCAGATCCAACAGGTCGGGCGCGTTCAGGGTGGTTTGGCTGTAAACTCAAATCTTACTTTTATTGTCCAACAAGGCCTCTAAACTTGTGGGTTCTTCAAAATTTTTAAACTCCCCTCCTCCTTAGCTACTTCTTCCACCAATGTAAACCAAAAATAAAGTCCTCTACAGAGAAGATAACAGTGATCAAAATGTATTCTTGGGAAATAATTGACGCGTCTCCCCCGCCCCCCTTTTCCTCACTATAAACAGACAACAAATTACAAATCTGGTGCTTCCAGCATGGAGCAGCAACACTCACTGAAGAAGGTAATTTCATTCCTAAGAGATTCCAATCTGCACTAAAGAGGTGAGCTTCCACCCCAAGTTTACTTTAGTCCCCAGGGCACTTGTAATTCAAGCAACTGCATCCTGTCCAAAACTAGAGTTAAAACAAACCTAGAGTCTGGCTAACTGCTCAACTCCGAACAACCCCCACTCCTTCCATCCACACACTGGGTTTTTAATATATCCAGTGTCGACCTTTAGCTTTCTAAAGCTAGGCCCAGGATTTGAAGACACTTCTCATCATCCAAGACGTAGAGCTTTTTCTACAGTGTTTTCTACAGTTTAAAGCCCTTTACCAGGGGCCGGCCCCGTGGCTTAGCAGTTAAGTGCGCGCCCTCCGCTGCTGACGGCCAGGGTTTGGATCCCGGGGCGCACCGACGCACCGTTTCTCCGGCCATGCTAAGGCCGCATCCCACATACAGCAACCAGAAGGATGTGCAACTATGATGTACAACTATCTACTGGGGCTTTGGGGGGAAAAATAAATAAATAAAATTTTAAAAAAATTATTTACAAGAATGAATATGTTATTAAAAAAAAAGCCCTTTACCACTGCCACAATTCACGACACTGACAGGAAGGTGGCAAAACACGGGGTACTGGAAAAAACACTTCACTAGGATTCTCGAGACCTGAGTTTCTAGTCCTGGCCAAGCCTCTTAGTCACCTGTGACCTCAGAAGAAACCCTGGATTCTTTCTAAATCTCTGCTGTCCGACAGGGATAATCAATGCCTATCTCTACAAGGTCACTGAGGGGATAATGTGAAAAATGCCCTAACAATGGTCATACTATTAAAAATTAGGTCTATATTTTTCAAAATGCACCTCTTCTCGCATTTTTCCCCACAAAGAGTAGAATGGAGAATTTTCTCAATTAAGATCTTCTTAACTGGTGAAATGATAAATCTCTAAGTGTCCAGCTATGGGCACAGAAAAGGAGATTGCAAAGTGCTTGCCAATTTACAAGGCTTTATTTTTAATCTTTAAGCCACTTAATGAACAGAGTAGGAGTCACCACTCTTAGAGTCTCCCTTTCAGCTCACTGTGGTATGCAGAAGTAGATGAAATAAGCTTTCTAATTAGCCAGGTTACATACAATGTGATGGGGTAGAGGCTGGGACTAGTGTACCACACTCAATCCTAAAGAGCAGACTTAGAACAATCCAGGCAGAGTGAACACACGTAAGTATTGGAAAGAAAAGTTTGAGGCTGGGGAAAGGTTTAATAACCGCACAGGGGCAGGAGGTGAGTAGTGGGAATCTGTTTGGTGTGATGGGCCCAGGGAAGAAGAGGACACACCCTGATGGCTCATCTAACCACCTCCAACTCAGCAGGGGGAGGAGTTAAAGGAAGGCCAGAGGCACTCATTCTTTATTCCATTCAGTGTTTACTGGGTGCCAACTGTGTGCAAGGCACACTGTCCAGTATTTTGGAGGATTCAAAGATGACTGAGAGAGCTGCTGGCCAAAGGAGATGGGACAGATATGCAAACAGTCCAATTCTACAAGAAGAGAATACAGGCTAGGGGAAGAGAGCTACAAGAGTTCGGAGGACAGGGAGGTCACACCCACCCAGGAAGGCAGGCAGGAACAACAGCAGGAGGGAATGGCATTGGACCAGACCTTGAAGCACAGGTGGACTAGCAACAGGCCGGGGCGAGGGGGAAGCCTCCTCTCCTAGTGGGGGAAGGCAGCACAAGTGAAGGCACGGACTGGACTGTCCCAGAAACAGCACCAGTGAGTGCTGCTGTTTGACTACAGCGTAAAGGACTGTCAGGAGTGGGGGAAGCCTTGAGAAGCAGGCTTGGAAGCAAGCCTGGGCTGGGGACCTTTGGAGACTCTTGAGCCAGAGGAGGATGGAGTCTGAGTTGGGCTCTAGGGATGATTAGTCTGGTAGTGGAAGGTTAGAATGGGGAGAAAGGAGAGGGACGAAAGGTAGCATGGTCACTTAGGTGGTTACTGCAGTTGTCCAGGTTAAAGGACTAGTCAAGGGTGTGGCAATAGGAAAAAAGGAATGGGCTTGATGCAAGAGTTAATCCACAGGACTTTGGTAACTGACAGTATATGGGAGGTTCAAAGGCTCAGGGTGAAGAAAACGCTGGGGTTTATACAGCTGGCTGCAGGGTGTAGGGGAGGACTGGATATTTCCTTCTAGGTAATTGGAGTTACCTGCAGCACCACGGGCTGACATGTCCAGAAGCAGTCAGGGATTTGGAATGAGACCTCAAGGCTGAAGATACAGTCCCACGCACGGAGGGAGAGTGGAGACTGTAGTAGGCTTAAATCTAGAAAGCAGGTAAGAGGCAAGAGGCTGAGCCTAGAGCCCTGGGGAAGGCATGAGTTGGAGAGGAAGAAGAAACAACAATGGAGATACCAAGGGAGTTAGAGAATGAAAATCCAAGAAAGGAGAGAAATATTCAAGCAGGGAAGGTGATAGATGGCACCACGTTCTACAAAATGAACAAGGAACTAGACGTCAGAGAAAAGGTGATCCAGTGCGTGAACAGGAGGTCAGTGGGGTAATAAAAGCTGAAGGGAGATTACAGAGAGTTCAAGAATGAGGAGAAAAGGGAAGAAGGAGAACAAGAAGATAGAGGTTGTGAAGATAAGACTAGTGAACGGGAGCTACAGGACCAGGGCAAGGGGTTCTGGGGCAGGGTCCAGCTGAGTGTGTCCTCTGTGCACAGGTTTCAGCCCTGAGTTGGCACAGGCAGGAAAAGGCTGGTGGGAAAATGGCTCAAAGGTACGGGTGGAGCAGTCCACCTTAGTCAAGAGGAGGTACCCTCACCTACAGAGGCAGGAGGGAAAGGATGGAGACATGCTAAGGAGGAAAGCAGGAATTTAAAGGAACTTGCATGTAATAAAGTTAATAAAGCAAGAAGCCAGGGGTCCTACCTACAGTTTTCTTTATAGTGATCTAAGAAGAAGAATCCTGAAGACACCTATGGCAGAAACATGTAGCACATGAATGGGAACATTAAGGGGATTGAGATAGTTTTGAGAATGCTCAATAGTCTACCAAGCCTTCTGCAGAAATAGACCCTGCAATTTTGGCCTAGCCCCTCAATCTTTTCTAATCTGAAAAACTACTGTCCCTCACCCAGGCCAGGGTATCAACACATGTGGTGAACCCTGATGAGCAGCTGTGCCTGCGTTCCAGCTGCATCAAGATTCCAAGGCGTAATCTGGCAAAGTCAGCTATGGGAGCGAAGCAACCGAAGCCCGAATAATATGTATCTTCCATCCTTGTGATGCCAGAAAGGTAAAACCAAGTCCCTAGAATTATTTGTGGACAGCACAAAGTAGAAGTGCTGTGGTATGGTGGAAAGACCCAAGGCCAGAGTCAGGTGCTCAGGCTCACCCCAACTCCTGAGTGCCACCAAGAAGCTAAGTAATTGCACGCATGTCTACCCTTCCCTGGGGCTCGCAATCCTCACCTATAAATCACACAGGTTGGAATCTACGGTCACAAAAAACTCCTTCTGGTTCTAAATGTATTTATGAGTGACGTGGGTTCCCGCCTCTTGGCGACTGCTGTTGCAGTCCCAGTTATCATCAATCTCCACGTGAACTGAATAGCCCCAGTAGCAACAACATCGCATTATTATAGCACTTTGTAGCTTACAAAATGCTCTCTCAGACATTTTCTCAAGTGACTAACCCTGTGAAGTAGGTATTGTGTCCATTTTGCAGACAAGACTACTGAGGTTCAGAGAGATACAGTGCCCTACCCAGGGCCCCACAGCTGGTGACTGGCAGAGCCACAGCTGGACCCCAGATCGACCAAGTCTAGCACTGTTTCTCCTTTGTACCTAGAGTATAATATCAGTTTACCAATGGTTTCTAAGCTTTTCAGAAAAACCATAAAACTCAGTAAGTAGTATCAAGATAAACCTAAAGCCCAAACAGGCCTCCACAAGAACCTTGACAACACTTAGTTTAGGCCAGGATCAGGCACATTCTTTGCTAGTTCACACAGAAGTTGCTACTTTGAGGGTTCTCTTGTTGTGAATGGGTTTTGTTTAGTCTTATCTGGTTTAGTTTTATTCCTTTTCTCATACTTGGTGGACCTGTACACTAAGATTCTGTATGATTTAACATGCAGCTTATGAATGCGAACACTAAGGGGATGAGATTAAGCCTCTGTTTGTTCTATGTAGTCTGGGAGGTTAAAAAAAAAAAAAAAGAATGTTTTTCCTGCATTACAGTAAGCTTGGAAGGGTAAACTATGGGATGTTCATTTCCTGAACATCTAAACATTAGCAAGATTGAAAATGTCTGGGAGAGGATGGCTAACATGCTAAGATGTGATGGGATTTGTACACATTCAAGGACTTGAAAAACCAACTCAAGAGCTAGGAAAGAAGTGGTGGGAACAGGGAGGGGCAGGACACAAGAAAGTTTCACATATAAACTGTTTTGCCAAATTCTCTGCCACTTTCTACAGCCATTTCCAGATCTGCCTTTCATTCATCACTATCAAATCCCTTGACAGGTGGACGACCACAGCCAATTTCTCCTGAGCGTTTTTCGATTCTTTATAGGAAACCAAAATAACACTACTAATATAATCCTCTTCCACTCACGTGGCCAGATAGAGAAGTGGACTCCAAATCATGCCGCTGCATGTGTGCTCCATGGGGCTGAAGCTTAGATTGTCTTTCTGTCAGGTCTCTCTGGCCCACCTACTCCTGCCCACTTTGCCCAGTCTTGAACCCTTAACTGTGATCCTTCTTCTCCTGTCCACTCTAGTGAATAATGCCCAGAGAGCCACCCACCCCCTAACCACCTAGTTACCACTGTCCTTTCTCCCCAAAGCCTGCCTCAGTCTATATCTTCTCTTAAAAACCCATGCCTTTTCAATGGAAATTGCCCCACATACCAGAAAACTCAACCAACCAACCAAGCATACTACCATGAGATCCAGCCAAAAATAACAGAAAACAGAAGAAATTATCTGAAACTACCAGTCCCACCAAAAAAACAATTTCAAAAAGTCCCACTGGCAGAACACATCTCTGACACTGGCATTTCTGTGCCATTGCCTCCTCCCTGCCACCCCTCCAGAATGTCTCTTTCTCTGCAATGGCACCTCACACTCAGGGCCCACAGCCTGGGCATCAGGAAGCAGTCAGCAGCACTTCCGTCCCCTCACAACCCACATGACTCCAAGCAGATCAGGGCTGAGACAACCCCTCAACTTACTCCTAGAGCACTGCTGACGGAGCATTTGGGTCTGGGTTTGGAAATGCAAAGCTAGAGAAGGAAAGGTGGTGAAAAACAGACTTGGAACCTAGGAAGCTGGCTCCGCCACTTTCTAACTTTGTGATTCTCAGAGCCTGAAACATTGGCACAATAATGGGACCAACCTCATAGAGTTGTTCTATAATTGAGATAAATGTTTACAAAGATCTTAGCACTATCCTAGCAGCTATGATTACTGGTCTTTAAACTCCTCATAGAGGAAACTTCAAAAACTAATTCTACCCTACCTTTGGCCATCTCTTCATGGAGGTGGCTACCAGCTGGAGGATGCTGGAGGTTTCCCATGGAGTCACTGACCTCAGGCTGGGAACCAGAGCAGTCATCTCTTTGGATTTTGGACAACGACAGTTCTGAATGGCAGGACCAGTCCTCCACCTGGGAAGTACTCACAAACTCTTCTCTTTAACTCACCACATTATGCATCAGGAAAGCCATATTCAAAATCATATTTTATAGATATTAAAAGCAGTTAACACCTCAGAGATGGCAAGAACACAATACTCACTATGATACAAGTTATAAAGGGCCCGTGCTTTTAGAAAGGTCAGTGTTTGAGGTGGGGCTATCAGATTTTATACTTCAGGATGTAGAATAACAAGAAGAAAAATTAAAGGGACAGCTCAAGGTATTTTTCCATCTACAATAACTGCTATCTCTGTTCCTTGGAGGATATGGATGTTTCTCTCTACACACACATACACCCTCCCACAAAATCATCTAGTTATATGGCTGAATGTGAAATACCAGGGCAAATCTAATTTCCACTCATATCCTTTTTCTGTTTCGTGTTCTACTGGTCACAGCAGAACTGAATACAAAGCACCTGGCATCTCTGCTGAGAGGGAGAAAAATGGCAAGTTACACTCAGTAACAAGCACCCAAGGTCCTGGAGAAGGAATGCAGTTTATTGAATCTTCTACCCCAGCCAAACCTTATCCCTGCATTCTTATCATGTCTGTTATCTGCACAAGCAAAGCTTCCCTGTAAGGGCAAAAGAATGCCCCAGTCCAGAGGCCCCACCTTTAGCAAACAGGTGTTGCTATGCCTGTGAATATAACACCAGCCAGAGCCAAGACGGGGCTCCTTCACTGCAAGTAGAGTGGTTCAAAGGAAAAGAACATCTGAGGAATGCAGCTGAGGCCAGGCCTGCTCTTGCCCAGGATTTCTGGTTCTACTTCCCACCTTGACATGGAGGGAAAAGGCTGACACACACAGGTGTTCAGAGCCCTCGGGCCGAGTTTACAAGGGGGCAAATGGGACAATGAGAAGACACTGTTTCGTGGTAGCACAGCTCACGGGAAAGAAATGGGAAGAGGAAATACAAATGTATTCTTTGTGAAAACAGGCCTTGGACCCTGGCCTCAGGTATTCACACCCATCTTACCTTCTCCAGGAGCTTAACGTATAAACTGGCTGCAACGAGAAAAGGTGGAAAGAGCAGGTTGAACAGGCAACTGGAGAGCGTTGGAGGAAGAGGAAGGGAGTGGGGGATGCATACCTCATCATCAAGACACAGGCCCCACACCTCCTGGTCTACAGAGTGCAAGAGTGAACCCATCCAACGTGCTCTCAGCCCCACCTGGGAACACAGGCCATCAGAGGGACCCACGCAGTTCTAAGAAGTGATTTCTTCTCTGCAGGCACTTTCAACCTAGTGAGGAAATGGGACGGACGGACACACACCATAGCATGCAACAAATGGGGTTAGTGGTAGTTAAATACCATTCTGAATGGATCAACAACAGCATTTCTCTACGCGCTAAGAACAGAGCAGAGTGGGGTTTCTTCTACATGAATGGTCTCTGTTGCTATACCATCATATCTGCAATTTTAATGTGGCTTCTAACTAAATCCCTGCCCACATGTGCCATACTAACATGAGAGCGTAGGTTATTGTCATTTATTAATTTGGGGTGGCGGGTGTTATTTCTTGCTCTTTGAAAAACAGGTCCGGATTACCCAGTTGCAGGGCTGTGAACACTGCGTGCGGCCCTGGCATGCTAAAATGTGAAATATTTTAAGGGTGCAGTCATTTCTTCCTCCACAGCACCTGAGCTTCTGCTGATCTCTCAATGAGATAACAGCCTCCTTCCCACAGGACTTTGCTAGGCAGCCACTCACTGGGCACAGGCCCTGAATAATTCATGGTCAGCCCAGTCACTCAGAAGCACCAAGGCCTGCCAGCTGCCATTAACTGGGAGGCAGACTCCAGGCTTACTGTAAAAGAATTCAACACTATCAACTTCCCCTGAGACCTTCTTTACAGAAACAGACAATTCTTCCCTCTCTTCTTGTCCCCATTTTAAACGAGGTACTTTCCCACTAGATTAAAGCACAACTGACTTTTACTCTAAGGAGGGCAGATGCCAAGTACACAGATGGGGTGGAGAGAAAGTGATGTCCTCACACAAGTACACTGTCCGGATGTCACTTCCCAATTCAGGATGCTGAGATGACACTGTTAAAGGACCAGACACTGTGCCTGACACAAGATAGATGCTCAATAAATGTCAGTCCTTGTCCCTTCCTCCTACCTGTCCCTCTGCTCCAGACAAACTGATCCATGCCCTACCACCTGTCTTGGGCTTTCCCATCTCCATGCCTCTGCTCTTGGTGTTCCCCTCACCTCTTGGTCTAGAGTCCACCCATCTTTCAAGCTCAGCTCAGAACTTCCCTCCTCCAGCAAGGCCTCCCAGATTATCCTAGCTGGGATGATTCCTCCTCCTCAGAAACCCTATACCAGTACTGTCAGCCCGCCTTGTCTGGCACCTATCATGCACTGCCTTAGAGTACAGCTTATCTCTTCTTATGCACCTCATTATTATATTATCATTCTTATCTACCTCATTAAAATAATGGAAAGTACACGAGTTACGAACTCAAGAAAAATCAAAAGTGGACTCCAGTCTCAGCTTTTGACACTGACTGGCCTTGTGACCCCGAGCAGTCAAATCTCCCTCAAATCTAAGGGATCTGAAGTAAAAAATCTCTAAGGTCCTCTAGATATACTGCTCCTGGAAATATACCATAATCTGTTTTAGGGCAGATGCAAGTTTCATATAACCTTCACTCCATACTCCCTAGCCCAGAATCATCTTAGAAACAGTTGTTCAAAAATGATTTAGGCATTTCAGAAGCCTGAACAGAAGCCTAAACAGACAAAGGCTGTGTGAGAGAGGTGGCACCACGTGGTAAACTGCAGAGCCTATTCTACCCTATGTAATACCCCCCAGTCCATACCTTCACCCTTCACAATGAGGAGAAGAAAGCCAGAACTCCTAACAGGTGTCAAGAGGTCCTTTTCAAAATTCACTTACCTAAGCCAGCCATCTCATTTATGGATAAGGAGAACGAGGCACAGGGCGGCACGCCCAGAGATACACAGTAAGTTACTGCATACTGGAAATTAGAAAGTAGGCCTTCTGAATTCCTGCTGCCTCTTTCATTTCTAGGGCAAACTTGAAGGTAGAGGGGACTGAAGACAAAGGAAGTGGCATGCATTTCTCATGCCTCTCTGTGAGCACAAAATCAGAGAAAGCTCATCCTAATCCCCTCTCCCACCTCAACTTCCAGTATCTAACACCAAGTTGGAGCCAACAGGCTTGTACTAAGTGGCAGATGACCCATATCTTTCCATGTTCTCAGACGTCCAACTTGTACCCGCGCAGAGAGAATGAAGACCCAGACTATGGTATGGGCAGCTTCAATCTCATCCTCCCAGCCCAGTACAGAACCACACAGTCAGCCCCAATACACTCTGTTGTCCAAAGACCCTTTCTCTCAGTTTTCTGCACTGGACTTTTCTTTATGATGTTCTGAGGGAACAGTTTATTCAGGAGGCATTTTTTAAAACCATCTGATAAATGGATTCATTCATTATAACTAGAATTTTATGACAGGTAAGGAATGAGGTGAGATAAGAGAGAGACTAAGTAACCTGCCATGCTCACCCATAACCACCTCTCCACTCACCTTTTTTTTTTTTTTTT